CCCCCCCCCCACCAAAAAAAAAAATCCAAACATCCATTTGCATGCTTTCATGCATGGTCAAATAGATAACCTTCTCAGACATATCTTCTCCTTAATAAAGTATCTAACTTCCCACTTGATTGTGCACAGAATCAAAGAATTCAGTGAATGGGCACAATGTATTGTTCTGGAGTTGGTTGCTAAGTATGTTCCCTCAGATAGCAATGAGATCTTTGACCTCATGAATCTTCTTGAAGATAGACTTCAACATGCAAACGGTGCAGTTGTTTTGGCAACCATTAAGGTGTTTCTACAATTGACCCTGTCCATGACAGATGTTCATCAACAGGTACATACAATTTTTCATTCTTAAATATCATCTTTAATCGATGGTGAAATTTGTTTTACTTGGTCTTTTTTCATTGAATTTACTCACCCAAACTTCCATTTTCTTCTTTGGAAGCCGAAAAGAGTATTCTTACAATCTGTCTTGTTCTTTTTAAAGTGTTAAAGATTTACTTGTTGATGGAGATCAAGATAAGAATACTGATGGATATAGATTTTAATTAGGATTTTAAAATAGAGTTTGATTTAAAGGAGAAGGGGAAAAGGGAGAGAAGATGAGAAAGGAGGGAGAAAAGAGAGAAAAGGGAGAGAAATTGGGGGAGAAAATTTGTTTAGTTCATATATCAAAGCTTGTCTCAATTACATTGCATAAGCCCCTTTATATAGGGTTTCAAAAGACCTATTATAAGTTAGGAAATTCTATAAAAGCTATTAAATCATACTCTAATTATGTTTCCTAAAATGCGCATCCATATTGGAAACTACATATAATAATCTCTTTTAATATTGCATCATTTCTCCTCGGCTAAAAGAACTCGACTCCGACGAGATAGACTGCAACTTCTTAACAAGGGGGATGATCTCTTTTTCCGACCGAATAGTGGACCACATAGATGTCAATAATTGAACTTGAAAAACATTCTCAAGCATCTGAATTGATCAAAGGGTGCTTATCTTTCCTTTTAACCAAGCAACAATAAAAAACTCCAAGAAGCAACAACATGTGCAACTCATCCACAAAAATTACTATGAAATTCACCTCATGAAATACTAGCACGGTAGACTGGGCTGCGAAAAACAGATCGGCGTAACACCGGTAGCTCGAATGTGTCCCGAGAAGTAAACTATTCTGTTATATTGAAAAAATAACCTCCATTTAAGTGTAATGGCCAGCCAAAAAATTTAAGTTCAAGTAAATGACAAGGCATAAAAATTATCATAGAAGTATATGTGCCTAAATAGTGCATCAAATGTAAGCTCATAAGTTCCATAATTGAAAACAGTTTGTTTTTTAGACTCAGCACGAAAAGCAACAAAGTATGGAGCTAAAGCAATATGACGACAATTAGTAGGTAACTGACTCTCAATAAGTGTGTGAACGAACGACGACCTTGAAAAACGTGGCAACTTGGGAAGCATCACAGATCTCATTGATTCACACGAGACATGATTATTATTGGAGGAACTGCTGAAGTAACACCATTACAGTTGGCAAGTCACTGTATTGTAAAACCATCAAAAAAATCTTTTCAACATATCATGCCATCCTCTTATTCTCCATAAGGTTTTAGTCCTATTGTAAGCATAGTTTAAAAAGGCGGAACTAAGTATTGAGGCGTTTTTTCTTTTTGAGGCGAGGCGTAAGCCTCGAGGCGGTTTGAGGCGTAAGCCTCATCAAAAACAAAAAATCTAAGTGAGAATTATAAAATGATTCAAAAAATAAAAGTTGTGTGAGTCTATTTAACAAATTTAATTATCAGTTTAACACATCATATATGCATACACAGATGAATTCCAGAAGCATGTTGGTACAATTATTGGTATATAAGTACTCTCACAATGAATTCCAGAACCAAATTCCAGAAAGAAAGTCAATGTCATGGAACCTATAAAATGATTTTTTGCACGCATATGAGCAAAAATAAACAGTAAAACTAACTTCTAATCATCCTGG